AATAATGCATTCGGTGGAAACACAAAACCATACATTACAATTTCCATTATCTCTATTTCGCAGCCATTCATCACCGAGCATAAAAATCATCTGCTTCTGTCCGTACATAAAACGTGTTAACACGAATCAATTATCATGCAAAGTGAATATGCTATACAACGTACTCGCGATAGTTATTTTTTGCACAAATATCCCCAACGAAATAACCTTTTCGAAATGCGCAAACGCAACATAGATTATACACTGTTTCATTCAGTATTGATCAATTCATCTATTCGAATATAATTCATTAGCTCAACAAAATTAAATACTTACCATATCACAAATTTTTCCGATAACTTTCTAAAAATACCTCTTTCAAGTTAATGAAACAGGACTCCAAAAGTGCCCAGATCGAACCAACGGGTGACAATCTAGTGTTGACAGACACTCAGACTGATAAAACTTCCATGAATGAAGTATTCTGTGCTAATCTCAACTTCAACAAATGCACGTATGAACATTTCATTTAACACAGTAGTAGGTCAACAATAATTCGACATAATCTCACCTTAAACCTCTCTATACAGAGCTTTCTCTGTATAGAGAGCACAACTTTCTCAACTTCTGAGAATTGTCGTTCGTATGGGGGCGACAGCTGATTAACTCGTAACTATCACTCGTTAATAGATAACAAAGCAAAGCGTCCTTTTGTTGTCAAACTCAAAATGCTCGTAAAACATTCATTCCTGGTGATCGCTATCAATTACTCTCGATTCTCTAAGTCCTACAGTTCTAAATGGTAGTCCGCGAAACCATGGGGTTCCATAGAGAAGCCACAGAGGTTCCGCGCATTCTGTCGAAGATCTAAATACCCTGCAATTGTTGAATGAGCTATTTCAATTCTACTTTCATTAGTGACGACTTGCCGAAGCAATACTGGATTTTCAGCTTACGTTTACATAAAAAATAAGTACAGAAACAAACTGGATGCAGCTTTGGATCTTCGCATCCAACTGTCGTACATAAAGCCGTATCTTAGTACTAAGATACGGCTTTATGTAGATGGTATCTACTTAGAATGTGTTCCATTGCTAAATGAAATTGGAAACCTCTGTTCTAAAGTATGAGTGATTTGAAGCCCATTCCCAGCGATAGTGGATCGTTACACAAGCTGTCAATGAAAATTACAAAAATTGAAAGATATCAAACCCGACATTGCAGCCATGAGACTTCCACAAAGGCTAACCAGAAGAGAATAAGTCATAATAACACGACTCAAAAGAGGTCATGCGAATTCAACATCCTCTTATATACTGAGAAGACAAAGACAACCATGCTATGAAAATTGGCAAACCTTTATAAGGATCAGACACCTCTTAGAATGCCACCAATATGAAGCTGATGGACAACGATATGAGTTACCGAATAATATCAGATCTTGTCTCAGTACCAAATCTATGATAAATGTTTTGAACTTTCTGAAAGCAACAGACCTCCTCAACAAAATATAAACAGTTATTGTATGCTACGAAATTGCTAATGACCTCAGTAGTCGATGCCGGAATAATAAATTAAAAAAATAATGAAGCATAATTTAATGACCACAAGAGCCAAAAGAACGTTGACAATAAATGGTGATTTTGGCGTAAGGTTGCTTATAAGCCATTCTCCCACTTCGACCTATAAAATAATCAATCCTCTCATTCCGAATATATTTTAATAAATGCAAACTCATTTTCAGGATTGAAGTTAATCAAAGGATAAATGAATAATCTATATACCATAAACTGCCAAGGCAACTGAAAGTCTGCTGAGAGTTACTGGTTTACAGAAACCTGGTCGTGCCAGATGAATGTGTAATGCAAAACTTCAAGCTGTTCATGGATATATAAACAACGTCTACATTATCATCAAATAAAAGAAGCTTGATGAGAAAATAAACTTTTGAATTTTGAGCTTTCATGACTGAGAATTGAGATGTTTCTCGAGTTTATAATATTCACAATACTCGTATAAGGATTTCAAAAGGATTTGATTTTATCGAACAAAGAGTCTGGATGTACTGCACACATCACATCACGTTTTTTTATGAGTATGGTTGCGAATATGGCAAATGGCTGAGTATGTCACTTGAAGTCAACGAAATCCGTCCGCCTACCGTATTTTCAGAATGAACTCGCAGCGATGGTGAATCATTCGAGAATATAGAGTCGATAGGATCGTGTGTGGCATGACGGTTTGCTGGCCAAACTTCAATGCTATGGCTTGGCGAATCATTTTTGTGTATGGCTCTTCAGCTTCCTGAAAAAACGTTTCCTGCAAGTGGTCGTCGATGGATATATCTCGAATACTTTCACCATCAACGCCGGTGTTCCCCAGGGATCCATATTTTTTTCAACCCTCTTTTGATTGTATATCAAAGACTTATTGGAAAAAACAAGAATCCAATGTATTGCTTTGCTGACGACAACAGACTTGTCTCGTCATTCCATTTGGATTCCAGGACATCGGCTACGGAGGTACATCTCAACCGGCAGCAGGAGGTTGCATATCTCAATGAAGATATAGAGGTGAATTCGAATTGGCGAATGCGACAAAAACCCAGGCATCGGTTTCCTCCAAGAAGATAAATGTCTCCGAACCGGATATAATAATGTCAGGTCAAACAATTCCTCTTTCTGCTTCTATAAGTTTGTTGGGGGTTAAAATGTCTTAGCACAATCATGTCGCTGGAATTGCAAACTTCTTTCATTTGAGGTTTCACATACCAATGAAATAACTGTAAAGTTGCATTGAAATATAACTATATGAAATATTTGGGTATTTTCACCTTCCACAATCTGATAAAACTCTGATTTCGTACATAGAAAGATGATTATATGTGTGGCGTGTTTATTAAGATTACTCTAGCAGTGCTGCCTTGCGATACGCTTTCGTATATCTTTGTCATATAAGAGTATATAAGATGGATACAATGGCCCTAAAATAGACCTCTGCGGTACACCATGTGTCAAATCAGTGAAATCGGATGTTACTTATCGATACCACTACAACAATAATAATTGAGGAACATTTTTGCGTTTTTTAAATAAGGCTGAGGCTGCTATGGTTATTTTCCTACATAACAAAAATTTACAGTCAGGCAACATCAAGAAGCATCAATTTTCGAATATAATTCAATAATTGAATTTTGGAAAAGTTGATTGTCTTTGAAGAATTGCAGAGCGAGAATTTAATTAGAAATTATAATTGTGACCCGTAGATAATTATATGTTGGAGAAGGAACAAAGTCAGACAATTAATGAAATTTCATAATTTTCACTAAGACTGAAATGATGGAAGTTGGACTGTAATTGTGTAAAAGATCTTCATATACTTTTATTAAAATAGAGCAATCTTTGATATTTCAATAACAAGCAGAAATATTCATTGTGAAAGTCAATAATATATCAGAACCGTCAAAGGGTTCCGAATAATAACTGTTGTGTCCCTTTAATAATGTTCTATTTTATTTTTGAAATTGTCGTTCAGCGAGAGTTTGGTATTTCTGTCTCTGGTCACGATATACTCTCTTTAACAATATACAGATAATTTACTTATGATATTCATGTTTAGCGAGTCGAATATGACCCAGTGAAAGACTTCTTCTTCTTCATACACCAGCCGTGCGCAATCGTACCATGGCCATCAAGGATAACCTCCTCTCTGCCATTTGCGATTTTGTTATTGTTGATAATTTCAATATGCAAAAGTTTATACAGAATTAAAATTTTGTATATGACTTATTACCAATTTAATCTGTTTTCTCTATTATCATTGATTTTTTTTTGTGATGAACTATACTACGAACTGGAAAAAAAATTAAAAATTATATTGGCAAATAATATAAAATCAACATCAATCATTGACCACAATCATATCAACACCTTTCACAACTAACGTAATACCTTATATTTCGAGACTATCTGAAAAATTCAAACGTGTAAGCAATGTATATGATGTCAGAACTTCATTAAGGCAAAAATCTGTGGAATATTTATATTATCTATATTCAGACGGTGAAAAACAGGCCTGGTTCTTGTAGTAGAAGTTATCATCAGACCATCAAAACTAGTGAAACTGCAAGGGAAGAAAAAAGAGACTACATCAAGAATAGACAATTAACATGTTAGAATCTCTCAGATTTATGAAGTCCTATGGCGACCATCCACAGTAATAGGTATCATTTTGAAATATATCACCTTGATCTTCGGTCTGGTGACAAACGTATATCAAGTAGCTCGGTCGGTAACATATTTGATTTTTGGGTTTTCTCATTGAGTTACTTACAGAACAGCAGATGTCTCTGATTACACTTGCACCATAATAGTTCTCTTTTGTTCCATAGTTTTATCATCGACAAACTAACACACTTTTTCAAACTGAATTACATGACAGCTGTCATTGCCAATTGTTTTTTGTCTCTCAATTTGTTCTTCATCCACATGGCTTTTACCGGTAATCCATAATTTTAAAACAAATATCCATTTTTAGTAAATTTTAATTCAAAATTCTTCTTTGTATCCAGTGAGGAGTCAACCTCGTTTAATGAAGTGACTTGTTCATTATATTGACATGTTTCAATTGTTTAATTGTAATATTCTTTTCGACACGGCCAACCTCACTAACAGTAAGTTTGAGACCATTCATAATAATTTTTATATTGTATCAGAATCATTCAAATTTTGTAGCTTTTCCTTGAAGATGATAGTAAATTTTATCGAAATATTGGAATAACTTGTGTCATAAGTGTACACTTCCGTTCTGCTGATGACCCAAAGATAATTCACAAGTTTTGTTCTTAACTAGTCAGCAAAGACTNAAAAAATACTCATTAACAAAAACACAAATCTCAACGTATCACGTGATAAGAATTTCTAAAAATCTCTAGCCCTCCCACAGAACTTTACACAGACCAACATATAACTCGAAAACTCAGAGAGACTCTCATCTGTCAAAAAGTAAAGTGCGTCTGGATGTTACCAACTTGAAACCACAGCGAACGTAGGTAATATTGAAGTAACAACTTTACATAGGAGTTAAGTGAAATATAATATACTTACCATATTGACGTAAGTTTTTTCGTATTTTCTACGACATATTCACATAAATTTTTCATTTAAATATGGGTTAAAAGTATTTCAGAAATGTAATGGAGCATTTACGTAAATGTAGATATTACATAAACATGTTTCGTAAATTTTATGTCATATTTACGTAAATGCAACAAGTGTGATTGCTGGGAAAGTTTTTGCACAATTTATTGATGATCATGAAACACCCCCTTGAAGAAGTGCATAAGGGGTCACTCGTCCTGGACATGGTCATATAACTACTTTTTGTAAAAACTTCCATCAAAAGATCAGAAATATGCTTGTCTGATAAGAAAATAGTTCATCTACATGTCCGTGGCATCTGTTTTTCGGCAGAGAAAATAATTTAAAGGAGGTCTTAAGTGATTGGGTCTATTCGACCCTTGCGGGTTTCTCCACCGAAACCCGCAAGGGTTTATAATTTAAAGGAGAATAGTAACTGGGTAGCAGTCGCTGACAAACCAGTCAGGTTTTGAATTTATTGCAATTTTAGCGTAACATCCCGACTTCGATATGATCCGACCGACTGGTTGTCAGCAACTGTTAGGTAACCAATTCTGTTAATACATTGAATAGCTACTGAGTAAGTACTAAAAATTTCAGGTGACACGAAAATGCCACTTTTGAGCCTCTATGGGCTTTGAATTCTTAGACAGTTTTTATTTACTGATAAGCTACTTCAACTGAAAGATAGAAGTTAATAATTTTATATTTTTCAAATTGTGGGAGGTGAAAGGTCCCAAAGTCATTGTCAAAGCATTTATCAGTCAATCACAATGGTAAAAGAATGCCAAAGTGGTCAAGATATTTCTTCTCGAATAATGAATTTTGTTGAACACAAGAAATAAAATGTTCATGTGTTTTCTATAGTCAGGCATCCTTCCTAGTATAATACCGTTGTTTGACTTCTAAGAACGCTAATGCCGACTCCTATACTTCAGAGTTTGACATTTAAGGCTTTGGTTTGGCATTCAGTGCCATCTCGTGGTAAGAGACTCAAGTATCACCTGTTTCGTTATTTTCAGGGATTTTAAAACTGTCGTTTGAAGATCGCTTCAAAGTTAAAACTTTTTTGATCCTGGCAAGTTTATAAATTTGAATCTCCTGAAACGGTAATCGTTGGGGAAAACAGATTAGAAGAAATTGTGGTTAGGTTATGTCCTGTCCTATAGACTTTGGTGTTGATTGTTGATATACAAATCCTATCATGGCTAATAAATGGTTTAAATTAATATGCAAGAGCAGTGAATTACAATTACTTGGCACTCTCAATGGAGGACAAAGTTTCAGGTAAAACACGAATTAATCATGGTGGCAAAACACAAATTAATTTTAACCCTCAAGGTGGAAAACGTGTGTTCAAGAAGGCAAGGATGTTTGGATTGGGGTGTTTTCAGATAAAGTTTGGATATTGAGACAAGAGAATGATTGTATATTTTATAAGGTCTTTGGTGATACAGAAGGACCTCAACACAATGAGAATAACTATAATGACATCCTGAGGAATTACTTTCAGTTGAATTTGAATCTAGAGGAGTACTATAGTGAATGGTCCAAGTCAGATAAATATTTCGAAAATGCAGCCAAGCAGTTCTATGGAATCAGAATCTTGAAGCAGGATGTTATAGAAAATATATTTTCGTTTATTTGCTCCTCAAATAATCATATATCAAGGTAAGAAAGGCATCAAATCTGTTTTATTTGTTAAGAATTAAAAATCCTTATTTTTATAACGAGCAATTACTTTTTGGAATGTTACTGTAAAATTATTCAAGCATTCCATTCAATTTTTTTCCTAACGTTTTGCTGGCACACCACTCATGTGGCAAAATGTTGAGAAGCACTGAAATGACATTATCATGTATTAACAATGGTTGTGTGATTCCGGAACGTTTTTCTCATCAAGTTTATTATAGCTCATATTTTTGTTGTTTTTTTTTTATTTTACTTTCTAATCTGATGTTTCATACAGACTGTAAGTTTCTGGTACAACTGCCCACCCCCGGTAACTAGAGACGGTGAGGAGCTCCAACCATAGTACCTTCAATCTCTCCAAATTTGCCTTAAGTATCTATCAAAACAATCTTGAGCCTCACTGACCGGTTGAAGCAAATTCACCAAAAGAAAACCAGATATTCTTTTTCAACAATTTTTATGTCTTTCATGTTCATAGGTTTGGAAGTAGTTATTTCAAATGGGTTTTTTGTAACTGAAAGAAACTTCTGTACACATTTTCGTGAAGAGTTTATTTTAAAATAAATTGCTTTCCTCCTTCCTTCGTAAGTTTCTCACATACTTTTTGAAAGAGATGGAGAATAGAAAACCAAAAAACTGTTTTCACTATCAAAATATGTTTTGAGAAGTATTCAGAACAACTAATAAACTACACCATTATCTGTGGTTCTTTTTTCTACAAATCTAACTTCTTGCGATTTCATTGAAAACAATGAAATAACTTTGGTGTGTTGCTTAATTTCTCCCCATTGCTAGTTACTGGAACCGGATGTGTTTTCAGATAAATAAAATAGATATGTTACCGCTTAAATGTTATGTATTCTCTTTTCAATGTCAATTAGCATTATTGTGGTGGGATTGTATTCAGTACTTTATAACTAAAGTTTTTAATTATCTTTTATACTAGATATGAAATACCTAGTAGTCTTCAGGATGAATTGCTTTCTTATGAATGATTTAGTAAAAGTTTCACAATATGTATTGTCATTTTATGATATAGTAGTTCTAGAACGAAATAAATCCTTCATCTCAGGTACCTAATGAAAGCAAAATGAATAATTCAGGATAAGCGGTATGGTGGAAAAACTTGCTAAATTTTATGGAAAAGAAATATGTGAACTGAACGGGGAAAAATACTATTCCTTCCCAAAAGTGGAATCTTTAGCCCAAAAATCTGTAGAAGCAAATCTGAGAACGAATGGTTTTGGATATCGTGCCAAATACATCAGCAAATCAGCAGAACTAATAGTTAATGAAGGTGGAGATCAATGGGTAAAACGTTTACTGGAAATGAAATACGAGGAAGCAAAAAAGACGTTAATGCTTCTGACAGGAATAGGAGCAAAGGTAAGAAGTCAAATAATAAGAGCCCCTGAAACCCAGAAGAAGAATTCAGTTTTTTCAATATTTTAGGTAGCAGATTGCATATGCCTGATGTCTCTAGGTCACTTACAGGCAATACCAGTAGACACCCACATTTACCAAATAGCCAAAAGGTTGTATTTGCCAAAACTAGTAGAAAATAAAACGGTGACAGAAAAAGTATATAAGGAAATAGGGGATCATTTCAGGATGCTGTACGGCCCATTAGCAGGATGGGCACATACTGTTAGTATAATGAACCACACAAGCGTTTTTTTTATGTTTGTCCATGTTCAGTCTTGAAAAGGTTGAGAGGGGTCTAGAGAACATTTCTTGTCAAATTCACTGAGAATGTGTCCCCACTTTTAAATCTTTTGAATCGGAATACTTACCAATCCCTCAACTTTCACCATATGCTAGAAGATTTTTGTAGAAAAAACATTTTCGATTCTCTCTTTGCAATTCACTTCAAACCTTCACACTTTTTGTTTCAGTTTGATAGGTAGAATTGGAACCTTTGGCATGAAATGAATCTAAAAACAAAAACACTTTTCCCACACCGCGGGAAAACTGTCTTTTTGTGACTAAATATTTTCCATGTCCTTTTTTTTGCTTGTGTTGTAGAATTGAATTTTTTTGAGCTGAGCTTCGCCACTAAATAAATTCTGAGCTTCAAAAAAAAACAACAATCATATCCTTGAGTAACTCTGAAATGACTTGAGAGATTATGGTGTTGCTAATAGGGCACTATTTGGAATTCATATGCTGTGTATCCACATGAAACTTCCACCTAATTCATCTCTGAAGTCACTATACCTTGCAAAATTCAAATCTGTTATTAAAAACTTGCTTCTTCAACACTGTTTTAATATTATATTGATCTGGCAAGGTATATAACTTGTTAAAAGCCTTATTAAATCACCATATGTTCTCCTTTTGATAAACCATTTCATTGCTTTTATATTTATGATTTCATTTAACCTACACTCTCTGCTTTTAGTAATTTCAAACAAGGATTATGTATTGATGGCTTGCCATAAATATACTATTGTATGTAAAATGGTCAAATAAAGTACTCTACTGTATGCTTTTTTTCCACTCACTTCCTTTTCCATAACTGATATTTTTTTGTTTTGTAGGTTCTGTTCTGTGCGGATCTTAAAAAATTTCAAGAAACTCCTGATACAAAAGAAGTGAGTGGTAACAAAAAGAAAAAACTCAAGTCCAAGAAATAAATGTCTCTAGTGATTTTACTTGTTTTTATTAAAGAATTATTTTTTTCATTTCCCTGTTTTTCATTTGACTGATATTTCTAGTTGCACTAGTGATGTGCTGGGAATTGCACATTGAAATGTAAGTCCCCTTAATTTGAACTAGTTTTGGCTTTTTAGAGTTGTCATTTGTAAGTTGACAACAGCTGATTGTCCAAATAATTTCGGCATCGTCTCTTTTTGCCACACTAATGAATGTACCTCACCATTACTCAAAATTGTTCTCAACTCATACTTTCCTAGGTTGTTTTTTAAACCTTATCAATATTTGCAGATAATTTAATACTTACAAACATTACTTTGTAACATTTTCCTAGAAGTTGTCAAATCTGAAATTCCTCTTGTTACAATATGTTTTGTATACCTTTGTTACAGCTGCCGATGAGAAACACCTTCATCAAGATGTGTAGTAGATGTGTAGAAATCAGTTAACAGTCTGTTGGATTATTCGAGTTGTAAACATCCATATACGTAAAATTGCTAATAAGTTTCTATTCCTTTTTTCCTAATACTTTCTTTGTCATACACCAACCCAAACTTTATGTCATGACTCAGTCCAGTAGCTGTACACTTCATATTTTCATTACGGAGATGAACCATCAGGTTTATAATAAAACAAAATTGGGATGTGATACTTCCATCAAGCATGTATGTATATCAAACATTTTCTTAACAAATCTAAGTTAAAGCAATATCTGAAGCATGTATGTAACAGACATGTTAAAAGAAGTTTTACTAAAAAGTTCCCTACTGCTGTACTGAAATTTAGTCAAGTTGCATATGTTCATCATCATCTTTCTTATCGTCCTTCTTGGTGGTCTTATCCTTGACCTTATCTTTATTTTCAGCAGATTTACCGGCTTCAGTAGAGGATCCGCTACTTTCCAACGCCTTCACAAAATTCGCCATGTTGCCCTGGGCTGCTGCGGCTACGGCTTCAGGATTGACAGCAAATTGAGACACTATTGGACCGAGTTGGCCAGATTCTAAAGCACTGGAGAACTGAGATACAGCCTGAAAATGGTCATCTTTGAGAAGTCCATTCTACTAGATATTACTAAAGAGAATATGAGAATCAAATATTTACCTGCGAAAACTGTGGTGAAGCCAATGTGGATCGGAGAGCCTGTTGTGGATCACCATCAACTGCAGGCAGATGACCTTGTAATTGTTCAAGGGTTGCGGGGCTACTCAGAATACCAGACAGTGTCTCAGTATTTAAAGCAGTTGATAGATCCACTAGAACAATAAGATGTAATAAGTGGGAGAACGCTACTGAAATTAATTAAAAGGAAGTAATCCAATCAAGGATTAATTATCATCTTCAAAAACTTAATAATTATATGTTAAAAACGTTCATTTACAAGCATATACTTGAATCTGAATCCAAAACAAGTGCCTTTCCAAACACCAGAAGTGTAATACTCAAAAAAAATCGGTTGGTGAAACCTGCGTCTAGAAGAGTATTGCAGTTCTAGTGTTTATGATTTTGAATTTAATGATACCACATATAACAACAAAGAAGGCCTCATAATGGGTAATCCTCTAAGCCCTCACCTAGCTGGACAACTTCGAAAAAACTACAACAGCAGCAACCTACCTGATTGCTGTTGAGTGCCATCAGCACTTGCTACTGGTGGAGAAAGTCCAGACAAGAAGTTCTGCAAGTCTGACAGCTGAATGGGATTAGCAAAGGAAGAGGGTGAAGCAGTATCAGGAGTTCTGGTGCTAGTTCTAGGTTTAGGAGCATCAGGAACAGCTGTCGGAATTGACCTCTGAGGTGTGGTTAGACCTGCTGACGGGGTTGTTGGATTGGCAGCAGCTGTGGTTGTTGGAGTGCTCGGAACTGTTGTGCGGTGAGTTATTGCTGGTGTGGTATTGGTACGAGCACTGCCACTATTTGGACCCCTGAAAATAAAAAAGAATATAGATATTAATGAAACAACTTCTGCAAAAAATGTTCATTGATTACATGCATCTTGACAACGTTGATTTTCTCAAAAAGAAGATAGAAAAATCACAATCAACTCGTCAAGGCTTGTAAGCCAAATGAATACAAAGAAATAATTCAACAGTCCGAGAAGAAAAGTGAAATTTCCTGGTCAATTATTGATACCCTATAAAATGAAAAAAATCTTATACTTCAAAAGTTTTGATGAGGTAGCAAATCTGTTCAATAACTTTCTTGCAGAAATACTACAAATTATCGCAATTATTTTAAACATAATTTCCAACTACAGAAGAAGAAATGAAAACATTGTTTTTGAACCTTAAAAATGAGTGTTCATTAAGCCTTGATGACCAACGTTACAAAATTTATCTTGTTTCCGACAGAACAGCATGGATTCAGAAAGTTCAAATCCACAGCTACAGCAACCACGGAATCCTTATATAAGCATACTTAATGGACTAGATGCAAAAAAAGTTCTAGGTAAGATTTGAGTATCACCTGATCGGGTGTTTGACAATCTCTGGTCATATGGGATCAGAGAATGTGTTTTCAGCTGGTTCAAATCATTTTTGACAAATTGATAACAATATGTTCAAGTATCTTGTAATGAGAAGAGTAGCCCAAATACAAAACACAATTTACAACTTGCACCTACAGACGTTCGAATTCCTCAAGGAAGTGTGCTTGTTCGAGATACATTTTCGCTGAACATAGAAGATATTGCAAAATACTTATTAAACTACAAAAAGTTCCAATGACTTACGCATCTTTCTTATGGCATATTATTATGGTGAATGTCTTCTTCAGCAAATAGATTATTCATTTAGCAGAAAAGGTGAATTTGTACAATAACAAATGAAAATCAAAAAGAATCATGCAGACCTCATTTGAAAGGTTTAAACTACTTGTCACTCTGCTGCATACATTTACTCGAAATTTCATGCTACATATACGTATATAAAACAGAAATAATCTTTTTCACAATGATATCCATAATCACCCCACTAGTTTTGGCCACAATCTTTATACACCTTGAAATCATCTGAATATACCACTTGAGGGTCCTTTCACTAATGGAATTAGAATGTACAACTCACCTGTGAATACTAAGCAAGTAAACACGTACTTTTGGTTCGACAAAAAAAAAATTATATTCTTTGAATAACCGTTTTGGTTAGGTTATGGAAGAATCTCTATCATATCTATTAGCGCATACTTGTATTTTTATGAGTGCATGTCAAATTCAGAAGACTTGAATTTCAACAAGTATGCCCTGCCTGTGGTACACTGAGGGACCTTGACGTATTCACAGTCATCAGGAAAGATTATCAAATCATCTTCGACTACTCCTGTGGTTCGATCCTGCCAGCAAAAATGCATCAAAGAATCTTCACTTTGATATACATACAATAACCCTTTACGTTTATCTGATGTCACCATTTTACCTATTTCAGAAAATCATTAATATGGAAGATATCACTCAAGGAACAGCAACATACCTTTCAAATTCAGTTTTCCTGCTCGTACTTCTATTAAATGTTTGTTTCCACCAGTTGAACCTGGACCCGCGGCTGCGCTACCAAACAAAGCACCTCCAGCTGGCATTTTTAGATTTTGTGAAAAACTCGCTTTTTGGAAGAAATTAGATAAATTTATCCACTACAAATGAGCAAAAGTATCTACCCCAATAAAAACGGGAATAACAAGAACAGAATTCTACAAGTCATAGCAATTGCTTACTATTGACACAATTTTTTTCGACAGTTGGCAGAAATGCCATTCTTCTTTTTCGATTGAATAACCTCAGCAACTACGGCTATCCGGCCAGTTGGAAACGAAAGTTGTTGATAATTATATGTTAAAAACGTTATTCATTTACAAGCATATACTTGAATCTGAATCCAAAACAAGTGCCTTTCCAAACAGCAGAAGTGTAATACTAAAAAAAAATCGGTTGGTGAAACCTGCGTCTAGAAGAGTATTGCAGTTCTAGTGTTTATGATTTTGAATTTAATGATACCACATATAACAACAAAGAGGTTTCCTTATTAAATTTTTTCTAGTGCGCATGCGTACCTCCCATTTTCGGAACGACCATAATAAGGCATTTACCTTATAGCGTTTCCAATAATTCCCTGTTATCAGTTATTATTGGATATTAATTGATTCACTAAAAGTGTAGTGGGAACTTAGACAGAAAATGTCTGAGAAAAATTGAATTTTTTCAAATTATGTTCTATAGGTTCAATAAATTGAAAAATTAATGTTGAAATTATCTGATACTGGAAGTTTTAAGAATACTATTCGATATCAATATGGCCTTATATCCATTCAGAAAAGGGCCTCCAGTGGTGGAATCAATTAATATATTTATCTTTTGTCGTACTTAGTATTTTTGTACTGATTAGTTTATAAAAATAATATGTTAACCCGATAACTGATTTCAATAACCTCAGCCAATTTGCAGTAACGTCCTGAAATAAAATTGTATTGAATGTTTTTTTGCTCATTACTCATCATGATATTCTTGCAATATTTGGCGTTTGAAAATTATGATAGCTTGATATGACTAGTACAGTCACTTGGTGTACAAAACTTCGAAACGAGAATTTCAGCACTTCAATCGACTCTTCGTACTTCTATAATGGAGAATTTATTGGCAAATGCTGTATCTAATTGAACCGGTATTCTATAATACTAATCCATCTGTCGGGAAACTTTACATCAACAAATCATTCAGTGACAATTTTTGAATTATGAGAACATCATCATTTCGTAGCCTACAAATTGCATAGCATTTGCATTTCAATGTCATTCACAAAATTTATGTCACACATAATTATCCCGTTTATTTTATTGTTAGATATAAAGTATTTGTTTATTGTCCCAAACTTATATTGTCCAGGTTTTTGTCGTGGTTCATGCCTGGAGTTACGTCTACGACTGTAGTGGACGATGGAGCAACGAACGAAGTAGTGCCCTATGTGTCCTATCATTCAGTATCTGCTGTGAATATAACTACAGCATTTTGTCTGTTGCCTCATGGATTTCAATAATGTTACCACAGTAATAGACGAAATGTCAGGCATAAAAAACTGCAGATACGGAAAATAGCTTCAACACAGTTATCCTCGACCGTGAAATATCACATTATTCGTTTATTGTTACGTCGTAATTCTGCTATACTCATAGTATATTATGAAACTTGAATGTATTTTAGAAAAAAATCCACATAACCCTCACTTTTGTTAAGGAATGTTGAAATAGATATTAGGTACAAAAGCTTGACGACATAGTTACCCTACAGTTTTTTTATACCGAGAAAGTAAAATGTTAAATATATAGAAACATGTCGCAAGCTTTTGAAACCTTTTGATCTCGTTTTCATCATTCTTCTCCTCTATCTATTGATATGAAAATACGGTTAATCTATACGAATATAATAATAAACAGTGATCAGATGTGACCTTCAGAACAATAGGCAAAATTCAATTCTGCTCATAAAGTTCGAACATCCGAACATCATGGGTTGCTGCTTGAAAAGTAAAATCTATCAAATTCCACTGTTTCGGCAGTGACTACGGTGTAAACTTCGGAAATATAATCAAATAATTTAAGATTACTCTCCGCTGTTGGCTTATTTCTATAACCTGTTATTTGGAATTATTACAATATATGTGATTGATTATTGGTGGTTATTAGAGTTGAAAAAGTTAAATATTCTTCAAAATTTATCAAGATTTTGAAAGGATACTGAAGAATTACTGTTAGTGATACCTTTTTTTAGTTACTAGGAGTAGGAGTTAGTAAAGACACCCCTGAAAAAGCCATTGTATGGCAAAACACGTGTTGCGTTTTTGTAAAACTGTTTAGTGAAAATCTCACAAAGAGTTTTTTGAATATGTTAGTGATACCACCCTTCATTAACAGATCTATCCGAAATTTTGTTTGGTGATATACCTAATACGGTATATAAGGTTATCTGTTGTTTCTTTCATAAACTCGGATAGCAACCTTCATTCATAGACTAAATTTTTTTGAGGAATAAAGGATATCATTTTTGACCAAAAATTCATATTTTTCTGTAAGGATTCAAAAGAAAATTCGCTTACGTAATATAGAAAATCCCTTCCATTTGTTATTTTCCTTTCTCTATCATCGACTCTATCATCATAAACCCGGAAAGCAACCTTCGTTCATAAAATTGACTAGATTTTTTTAAGAAATAAAGAATATTATTTTTAATCAAAAATTGATATTTTCAGGTGAGAATTCAAAAGAAAAATCGTTCATGTAATATAAGAAATCCCTCTCACTTATTATTTTTGATTCTCTATCATCGAATTAATTAAAATAATATTTTTTAGTCAGGAACTGTGACTACAAATAGTGTAATCGCTGGTACACTGTGATCAATTCACAGGAAGGAATTAGCACATTTTCTAATGAAATAACTCATCATAATAAAATAGATGGAAACGAGTCGCATAATTCGAAGTATAACTTTATTTGTTACAAATTTGATACCTCTCATCATGAGTAAACAATTCAGAATATGGTTTCATAGCATTGTTAACAATTGAATTCGTGTTTTCTAAGGACATACGTCAGGAATACTTCTCACTTCATCTGGTACAGCTGAATACTGACGTATAACTCTTGTTGCTCAAATATGGGTCAGATTTCCATTGCCATAAGCGCCTTCTTTTCTTGTTCTGAGATATAATTGGGAGTTAGAAGTTCGAAGTTCTATCCCTAGAATTGTTGAAACCAGTGCAGAGTTGGTTTAGTTCAATTCTTTATTAATGCATTGAGAAATGGAGGACAGAGATATATTGAAAATACATTCTTTTCACCAGTGGAAAATGCTATGACGTTACTGTCTGTCACTTTTCAATATAGCCAACAAACAACTGAATTAGAATAGAAAAATGTCCTACTAATTATTTATCACTAAAAGATTTAGAGAGATAATTCATGTACTATTTTTGTTTTGACTTTCTCATAATGATTCAGTTTCTCTCCCACGCCTAAAACAAAAAAGGGAAACCGTGAATGTCTGAATCTGACAGTGAAAGCGACTTCGAAGCCGTTTCTGAAAAAACAAGACTGATGGATGGTCATGTTGCTACGAATGGTAGTGGAAGTTCAGCTCCTACAGATTTGAGACACAGCCAGGAAGTTCCAAGGAAGCGAAGAAATTATTCGGAAAATTATTCCACTGAAGAAAGATCTGAAGATGAAGCCACCGGAGAAGAAATACGCAGGGATTTCAGTTGTCCAGGCCCACAACCAGATGAAGAGGAAGAACTGAAATATGGAGCCAAACATGTTATCAAGCTGTTTGCCCCAGTGTCTTTGTGCATGGTCGTTGTTGTTGCAACCATTAGGGCAGTCAACTTCTATTCTGTTAAGGACATGTATTTGTAAGAATTATTGTCATGCTTTCAAAATTGTTTTTATTTTCAAACTTGTGTTTTAGAGTTTACACCCCTTTCCATGAAGAGAGTTCAGATTCAAGCACTAAAGCATGGAATGCTGCAGCAAATGCCTTGATATTAATGACTGTAATTGTTGTCATGACAGTACTATTAATTATTTTATATAAGTACAGGTGTTATAAAACAATTCATGGTTGGCTTATCATTTCTTCCTTGATGCTGCTTTCCATATTTTCATATTTATACTTGGAGTAAGAAAACAGCAAAAATTGAGATTTGTTTATTATATAGTGTGCTTTCAGGGAAATTTTGAGAGCTTATAACATTCCCATGGATTATCCCACTCTCCTTTTGATCATGTGGAATTTTGGGGTGATGGGTATGATAGTAATTCATTGGCAAGGTCCTTTGCTTCTTCAACAGGCATATTTGATCTTTGTAGCTGCCTTGATGGCTTTGGTTTTCATCAAGTACCTCCCAGAGTGGACCACGTGGGCAGTTTTAGCTGTTATATCAGTATGGGGTACTTATAATAAGATATTTCCCAATTTACTTGATTTAATGTATTTTCTTTCTAGACCTAATTGCAGTACTAATGCCCAAAGGCCCTCTCAGAATTCTAGTGGAAACAGCACAAGAAAGAAATGAACAGATATTTCCAGCATTGATATACTCATGTAAGTGTACACTCCCATTTAAATGGTTGAATTTGTATCCATGATAATTACACAATTTTCACAAACATTTTTATTTCTAGACACGTTTTGCTAACAACGTGGAAGCTAGGGTGTTAGCTAAATGCATTTAGAAATAAAAATGTTTGTGAAAATTGTGTAATTATTATCATGAATAGTGTAAATTATTTTCATCAAGTACTGAGTTGAATTTGTTACTAATATTTTTTCAGCTACATACATGTATGCCTACACAAGTATGGCTACAGGGGATGATGTCCCAAATGTAAGAACATCAAGGTCAACTAGTGAAGACCATGGTTTCACACAAGACTGGGTAGATAATCATGCCAGCAGAGCTACTCAAAGACAATTAGAAGTTCATGATGTGCCCAGTGGGCAACCACGTACACAAATACATCAAGAAGAAGAAGAACGTAAGAAATTTTACAATTTTTTTTACCATTACCATTTTGATGAAAGCATCCCAAGATATTAAAGTGAATGTCTCAGAAATTTTTCTGTTTTTGGTATTGAACAAAATATAAGGGAAACTTATAACTGTATTTTATTGATAACATAATGGTTGATGCTGGTAAAACCATCATACAATGTGTGTCGCATTGAGCTTCCATCCGTCTCTATTCTAATTTTAGTATCTATGTCTATGTTTTCATGAAAGCATGTATACAATGTTTTGTCCTTGTCTTAGTCTTTACCTTTAAGACCAGTAGGAAAATGTCAATAATAAGCATGTCCACTAACATGTACTTCTCATTCTTCAATTCATCTGAATGAATGGCACTACTACAAATATCATTTGATGGTTTAATTGAAATCAGTTGATTGCTGATGTAAAAGATGTAATTTTTATGTTGGTGCACAAAATGAGTATGAGAGTCACATGTCTTAAAATAGTTCACAAGTTGCACAATTTGAGACAAACACTGATAAGTTTGAGATGGAGTGAAGTTATCGAAAAATAACTTCTGATCTGTTTGGTTCAGAATATGGTTAGGTTAGATCAGGTCAAAAGTGAGTGGATCTATTAGATCCTTCACCGCAACTCATAAGGGTTTATTGTGGCTCACCTATTTAAACTCGACCAAATTAACCCAGATTTTTAATGAAGCCGATTAGTTTATATGGTTAATGAACTTTCAGGTCAGATGCTAAGAGTGTGGATCTACCAAACTCTGAAAACCTGTTTCGGTCCACAGCAAGAGAGGCACAAAGTATATGCTCTGCTGTTTCATCATTTTCCAAACACAGGTGACACATACTGTCTTCCGACAATCAGAATCTCTGCATATGATGATACAGATGACAGTAACCTGTGAGGAGGCCTGTTAGACATCGTAGTTCATCCCTACTGTCGTCCAACAACTATTTGGCTTCAAACTTCGAAGGGTAAACGAACGCCTTGAAGTGAGCCAATCCTGAAAGATTTTACCAGAAGTCCTTGAATCTTTTTGCCATCCAGGTGTTGAATGTTTGTTCGGCAAAACCTAAAGCAATACCAATGTTAGGTTCTGGTTCGATGAAGCTGTTTGCAACACCCTCCATTGCAAGGGAGTCAGCAGCCTCATTGCCTTCCAGGCCAGTATGGCCAGGAATCCAAACCATAGACACTCTGTCAAGCCTTCCTATCAAGGAGAGTCATTTTTGGCAATTTGCTACCAATTTAGACGTTGCTCGGTAGGAGCCAAGAGCTTCTAACCCGCTTGATTGTCCGAGAATATTTTTATTGACTTGTGTAACAAAATATGAATGATTCAACTTTTTTATGTTACAATTCTTCTGGATAATATTTCAGAGAACCCCAATGCATTGATATCTGATCTCCTTCATCTCAAACTTCTCATGCAAACTCAATGAGAAACACGCTATAATGGAAATGACTCTCACCTTGGGTCATTTACTATGAATCAACTCAAAATCTTTCAATCTGTGATCAAATGAATGAAAACATCAAAGACTCTCCAATACGAATTTATCTCTGTTTTATTGAAAAATCCGATGTTATTGGAATTGTTTCAGAATTGGAAACTTTCTACCTCTGGAATATCTGAAATTAATTTATCAGTATTTTTTTTTTCATCTAAGCTTGATAGCAATTGGAACCTAACATCCAAAAACTCTTCAGAATAACATCGTGAAGTTTAATCTATTCAAAGTGACCATAACTGACATTCATTTTCATTTGGTATATTAATTTCATATATAATATAAAAAATTATATCCTCATACATCTGTGGAAAAGTAATTTAAAGTTTTGTAATGAATCGAGATTCAAAAGTCATTAAAGGAAATATCTATTTTCAAATTGAATTTTTTCCCTGCCACAAACTAGTATCAATTTCTGACAATTGAAAGTTTTATACTTGATCAAACCCGAAACCTGTTGTATAAATAAAATCTACCAGTGGTACTTAGACAAAGAAGTGTTTTTATTCATTTCATTCCAATGTTCCAATGACTAAAACTGTTATTTTATTTGAATTCAGGTGGAGTGAAATTGGGTCTAGGTGATTTCATCTTCTACAGTGTTCTAGTAGGAAAAGCTTCTTCATATGGCGATTGGAATACCACCCTGGCTTGTTTTGTTGCTATTCTCATTGTAAGTGAATATATTTCAATAAAAAAAATTGTATATCGATATATCAATTGTTGATGTTAATATGATTCTTTTTTTTATAGGGTTTGTGTCTGACATTGCTCCTACTAGCTATATTCAAAAAAGCTTTACCAGCTCTGCCAATCTCAATTACTTTTGGCCTCATCTTTTACTTTGCCACTAAGGAAATCGTCAGTCCTTTCACCGATAGTTTGGCTGTTGAACAAGTATTCATATAATCACAAGTTTCATTCCATTTTTTCTTTAGTAATCATACCAAATAAGCCAATGATTGTCTTTTTAATGTAAAGACTGTTTTACAAATATGGATTTTTGTTTGTGAAAAAGACTTTTAATATTAATTTATTGAATGAATTAAACTATTGAAAAAATTATGGCTTTGTTTTTGTACTAATTACATTCACATTGTTAACAAGAGTATTTACTAAGCTATCCTAATTTGCAATTTTCATAGCACTTTATGCTTTAGATTCGTTTCGAAGACTTCTTACATCAATTTAAGTAACAGCATATTATTTTTTTTTCTGTAGGTACTCTAATGAAAATGTCTTTACTCTAAAGAGGCATCTGCGTTTTTGCATATGATTTATTATACATGAAATTAAATAATGGAGGGTGATTTGAAAATAAACCTCTTTTTTATTATTTCATTTCTTATTCAACCATTTAAATTTTTTTACTTAGCTAACGTCACTTAACTTTTACGAATGAAATCGAGTTCCTCGCACAAAATTTCATTAATTTTTTTTAGTTTAATAAGCAAATGAAATGTGCAACATACACATTTTTGTGATCACATTTTTATACTCTATTCAATAAAATAATGAAAAGTGATGTTGATTTTCAAATTAACCCCTCTAATATTTAGCCTACAAACCCTTTCACGAATAGCATCAACATTAAATAAGTTTATAAGTCATTTGATTTCAAAAATAGATACTAAAAGGAAATACGAAATTTGTTCAGAGTACTGTAATGATTCGAGATTATTGGAAAGTTATTTTCTTGTCCAATATTAATTTTTTTCGTCACAAACATTTATTAGTTTCTTGTGAAACAAGCTATTTGATCAAAAAATAAAATATATTCTTCACGCAGGAGGGGAATGAAGATTTCGGAAATTTTATTTATAAAAACTCCAAAGGAGTGAAATTGGAGGCGATTTCATATCCTATTTTACAAATATGGAATTTTATTTGTGAAAGAAACTCAATACTACTTCATTCGATGAATTAAACAATGTGAGAATTATGGTTTTGTTTTATTTTTATGATCTGCACTATCGTTCACACTGTAATCAAGAGTGTTGACTAAGCTTTCTTTATTTTGTGTCCAAGGCACATAATGCTTCCGATATGTTTCAAAGGCTTTCGAACCACCACATTTTAAGCATCGGCGTATTACTTTTTTCTTCTGTATTCGTACTTTACAAGTGATACCTGCTATAAGGAGGCATCTGCATTTTTTGCATATTGTACGTTTCATATCTATTTCCCTGGAAAAAAAAACTGATGTATTCACAATATTTTTAGTTTCATTCTACTTACATTCTCTGAACAGTTTTTCTGGAAACATTCACTAGAAGATTGGAGTACAAAGAAGAAGCGATGTTGGTAGACTCATTTTGAGTTAAAAGCAAATTACTGATCTGGAAAATAGTATAATAGAATAAGGAACACTGATTTTTTTATTTTACACACCTGATATAAATAATTCATTCTTTGAAATCCATCCTTACCAGCACATCGATGATTGTTACTCATTTTAAATTAGTTTAAATGAGCCGACTAGATAAAAATTGCATTGAAATGAGGGGTTAGGTTGCATCAACATAACCTACAAAAAGTTGTTCAAAATTTCCATCAACACCACAACCACACCATGGATTTTTCCTGGGCCACTCCTTACCCAGAGCTGTATAAAGTATGTAACATGTTTCAGTTGGTAGAGATATGCCAACCTCTGAAATACTACTATAGGCCCATACCATCATATCTTCAAGAGGGTCCAAAATGTGGCCTAGTTGCTTTGGCTATGGTGCTTGATAATGCTACCCAAGAAAATGTTGAAATGTTATATGAATCTGCAAGAAAACTAGGTTTTACCAACAATGGAGAAATATTTAGCACAAAAGAAATGGCGGATTTAGCGAAAAGGAATTTGCCAGATAATACGAAAATAGAAGTTTATAGTGGTTCTTTGGATACCAACAGAATCAGGAATTTTATACTTGATGGGGGGTTTATATTAGTTCCGTATCCTTTTCAATTCGTTACAAATGTATAGGAATATTCAATACCCGTGTCTTCCTTAAAAGATGAACAGATATGATACTGATAAAGACAATTCGCCGGGTTTACATAGAGGCCACAAAGCTCATTGGGCCGTTGTTTCAGGTGGAGTCTCAACAGAAGATAACTTTTTTGTGATAGCTAGACATGGAAAGGCACGAAATGTTGCTATTTGGAGACTTGATCGTTTATCTGAGAGTAATAAACAATTGTTCGAATTCTCACCAGATAGAAAACTACATGACGTTGAATATAAACTACCTGAAGGTGGAATCTCTGGGCCACTTGGTTTAAATCAAAAAAGTGTTTTGTTGAAACTATGTTCGAAAAATTGAAAATGTCAACAACAATGCTGGATTTATACATCTTGCTAGAAATATGAGTAATACAATTGATGATTATAAACCAAAATGAAGAGTCAGCGCAAATCATAGAGCATAGATGCAACATGAAAATAATAATAACAATTTACTCACCACTAACAGCTAGAATAATGTCAAATATATAAATACAATTAACATTATTAACGACAAATAACGGTGCCAAATTTGCACTCAATTATTGTAATGATATTAGGGTAATTCGAGGAGAGATGGGCACAGTTTTGAAAAACGAATGGTGTCACCGTTAGTATGCAGACTATTTGCTAACCTCTGTTGAAATATGTTAGTATAGAGATTATAACACAACCACAAAGTACACTGAGAGAAGAATATTAGATTATTATAATTTGTAAACCAAAAATGGTTGACATATAGTAAGCATAAACAAGTTATTGAGACAAGTTCATTACATATTTTTGGGCCTTCTAGGTACATGGAATATTTTCGGCTTTGTATTCCATTTTTTCCTGTTTAGAATCTAGTATTCTCATCATGATTAGTTATATAAAATTCTGAAATATTTCTAAATCTATAATAGGTTTTTGCATGAATTTGTTTTGAATCACACACTACAGACAGAAATAACAGTTCTTCGATTGGGAATGTGTAGTTCACTGTATAAATTTTTCAAAATACGTTTCTGGACACAGGATCAAAGCAGGGTAGGTTGTTCATCTGAAAACTTCCGAATACCTATCTATCTACGAATCTGAGATATCAGAAAAAATCGTCTAATCACGTAAAAATTGACGTAAAAAACATTTACTCGGTCCCCCCCAGACCCATTTCCTTGAAAAATCTCGAATGATAAGAGATAGCTTATTTGAAAAGTCTCAAAAATAACGCGCATGCTGTTTGACAATTTCGAGTTTTGAATTATGACAGTTATCTCATCAATTGTCACATGTTACTGATAGGTAACCTATCATAGGTTATATGTTGAAGTAACGAAGTAACATCTAATATCAGCACAAAATTCACAATTACAGAAAACTGAAAGTTAAATACTCGAAATATCTACAAAACGCCATTACTAGACTTTTACTACAAGTTGATGAAAAAACTCGCCTTTGTAGCAGTTACTCATACATGACAGCGTTTCCAACATGGTAGATAGCGAAAGTCGTACATCTCAAGTCAAGTCTCTTTCTAAGTAGGTTAAGTAGAGGGCCGTGTACATTGCCAAAAATTAAAGTGAAATAGTCATATTTGTTTTAAAAAGTTTTCAAGCTTTTCTGAGTGAATTTATGAAAGAGAACTAACGGTTTCATCATGATAAATCAACACGAGCTTTCTTGAAAAATTAATAAAATACACCCATACTTACCTCAAATATATCATGTTAAATGTCTTCTACTGTTTTGGTATTTTAACCTTATCTCCTAAATATTCATCTTGGTTTGCCTGATAACAATAATGGATTAATTAAGAACTTTCTTCCTTTTTTATTTCAAGTTTACGTGAAGTTGAATATCTCCTGATTTTGAATTGCTCCGAGGATTTTAAAAAGGATTTAACCGGACTAAAATGAAGGCGTGGCAACGCTGCTGTGTACAGATGTGAAGTTATCCACAAAATATTTCTGAGTGCACGTCACCTTAAAATTTTTGAAAATTATGTTTATTCTGTACATTTTTTTATTTTGTTTCGTGCATTCTATTGTTGCTTGGGATTCTGAACAGTTAGAAGTATTTGATGCCGTAGACGAAGTTAAACAAAATTTTTATCAATTATTGAATGTTTCAAAGGCAAGTTTTATTTTCAAATTTTTTTTTTTAACTATTCTAGTTTAACTTTCAGGATGCCACCAATTCTGAGATTAAATCTGCCTTCAGGGCTCTTTCTCTCAAGCTGCACCCTGATAAGAATAAAGAAGTGGATACATCAGAGCAATTTCGTAACTTAGTTTCAGTTTATGAAGTACTTCGCAGTACAACTAAGCGAAAATATTATGATGAGGTTCTTATCAAGGGATTGCCAAACTGGCGTTCAGGACTGTTCTACTACAGATTTGTCCGAAAAATGGGTATTACAGAAGTCATTGCCATTTTATTTGTTATTATTTCAATAGGGCAATATCTGGTGAATTGGGGAGTGTATTTGGAAAAACATTTGACAATTGTAAGTACACAGACGTAGAAGTAAAAACCAAGAAATTTTTTCCAAGTAGTAATTTCTCTAAAGATAATCTATTTCATAAAGTTTATTTCTACTTCCAATCTAAATTATTTTTCAGCAAGACAGAAAAAAGAAACCGGGAAGACGAGGAAAAGTAGAAGAACCTGAAATAGTGATACCTAAACCTTCCCTTCTTGATACACTTCCCATTCAAATACCTCGGCTTCTATGGTACATGATAATATCTCTTCCGGCTGCTTTTGGATTTATCAAAACTGCAGTAGAGCAAAAGATTGAAGAAGTCAAAAGAGTTCCAACTCCAGAACCTGAAGAACCAGTTAGAATAAAAACTGTGAGGAAGCGCAATAAGTTTGTTGTCCCGGAAGGACCCAATTTTGAAATTCAGTCGAATGCTACTAATAAAACCACTTATGAATCTTCTACCGTGGCTCCTCCTGTTTCAGGAGGCTTGTGGACAGATGATGATTTGGCAGAACTTATACGCTTAGTAAATAAATTTCCTCAGGGCTCCCCTAGAAGGTGGGAAAAAATAGCCGAGGCATTAGGTCGATCGGTACCTGAAGTAACGTATATGTCTAATAAAATGAAAGAAAATGCATATAGGTTACCCTCGGAACAAGAAGAAGTGCAAGAAGTAAAAGTTAAACAGAAAACAAAGAAGGAAATCGATCTTGGGGATGGGGTTCTGAAGTGGGGTCAGGACCAGCAGAAAGCTCTAGAAGATGCTCTTCTCAAGTTTCCTAAGGGATGTACTGATAGGTGGGATAGGATAGCGGAACATGTTTCAGGAAAATCAAAAGTATGTAGTTGGAATACCCGATCATTTATTGTTTGAATGTAAAGTTTAAATTTCCAATATCTAGTCATATAAATAAAATTTACTGAATTTTTCATTCAAACTTCCCCAGATGTTGCAAGCAAAACAACTCTTAACACTGAACCCTATTGAGGGAATCACGTTCCAAATTCCATTTACCAACGAGGAAATGTACAAATTGCACCATTTGTAATTGATGAAATTTTGTGTATCTTAACAAAAACTGTACTTGATATAAATCAAACCACCCACATATATCATCAAACTGTCTTTTGAAGAAAGAGCCTTACCTGGTATGTTGAATCTGTGTTAAATCATTCCAGTCTATAAAAATTTTTAACAAAAACTTTCAAGCACTTTTAAGGTTGGTCTATTACTATATGTATATCCTTTTCAAAGATATTTGAATGCTACTTTTTGAAATGCCTCTAGAAATCTATAGCAACTCCCTATATTTTTTCTGATGGTCAACTGCTTTTATTGCCAGAGGTTAGAAATTCTACTTATCAAATCGACGTAGTCTATTGGTATTCTATAAACAAGTATTGTAATATCTTGATTCAGAGGGTGCTCGATTGGGATTTTCTGTGATCTTATTCTGGTGTTTTATTTTGTCAAGTATCGCGTCCTCAATAGACAGATAAGCTACTAGATTATTTCAGTATGGGATAAGACGTAACTTGTCAAATTGATTAATAGTTGTCTCAGATGTGGAAGACAATATGGGCTTGAAGTTATCCACAAAGTACACTGAGAGAAGAATATTAGATTACTTTTTTTCTTTCAACACCTTTGTACACCTACCGTCTTTGAATATAATATTCTCTTTGATTGGCTTAGGGAAATGAGTGATGTCCTAATTTTCCTGGTCGTCTGAAGGGTAGACAATGAAATGGAAATATTTAGTAAATTTGTATAATGAAAAGTTGACTTTTTACACCTATATGATTGTGATATTTTATTCATGTCGTTGAATTAAAAAAGATTTCTAAACCTTCTAAGAGGGGTGGAAATGGGGTCAAAATTCATCAACTATTTTTTAGAATTTTTTAATAACCGTCGGTTATTAATGTTTAATTTTTAAAAAGGTTGCTATACTAGAGGTGTAGATAGTCAATTTTTAATGAGGCACTTTTTCATTATTTTTACCACATTTCCACTCTATTAGACAGTTTGGAAAACTTGGAGGTGAACTTCGTCTTTTTGGTAGGTGTATCAATTCAAATTTCAATAATAAGCCCTTTTTAAACTTTTCTCCCCATTTCCACACCTCAGATGGTTTGGACTGGTATTCATTTGGTGGAATCGATCACCAGGAATTACATGTTTGTCTCAGTCTTATAGGTGAACTAATGTAATTTTCAATGATATGATCTTTTTAATTTTCACCCCGCTTCCACCCCCTCAGATGGTTTGGAAAACTCGGACTTGATCACCATTAATAATACATCTCAATCTGATAGGAGTAGAAATTCAACTTAATGACGATTCTATAATTTATCATCCCATTTCCACCTCGGAGTTCTGGAAAACTCAAAGATAAAGTTTATATCAGTAGTGTGTCTATTTCCATCAATAATATTTCACAGCCGATAAGTGCAAGTACACAATTCATCAATATGACTGTTAACCAAAAAATTTTGTGCACAATACTGTATAATTTTCGAGATTAACTAAACTCAACATATTTGGACACTGAAGGTTGGAACTTGGATGCCTTTGTATTTTAAATGTATTTAATCAAAATTACTTTGATGATTGTTATAGGTAATATAATTTTTCTATTTAACTTTTTTAGGAGGAGTGCATGATGAGGTTTAGGTACCTTGCTGAGGATCTGAAGAAACGGAAATCTGACAAGACTGAAAGTAATGATATACCAAATAAACCAATTGATGAGGCTACTTAAATATTGAGATTCGTTGAAAATTTACCAGTGCAGTTGGGTACAGAAAAACATTAAAATATACTATGTTTTCGTTTGGTTTCAATTAATTGCCAAAGAAATTTCTAGATATCTGAAATTCTTCAATTCAAGAAAAAAAACTTTGAAAATTAAACCGTACGAGATAGTAAGCGATATAGGGCAGGAGAGAATATAAGGGAGATTGGCTCAATTGTTCAAGTCAAATCAAAAGATTAAGAAAAGAAGACATCAAAAAAAAACATTTTTATTGAAAGTACACATGTTCACTTTATTATGTTTATATATAAACAGTACTATTTCAAACATTATTGCGCTTATACAACAGTAACTCTACACTACTGTTATACAATCAAAACATTGAAACTATGAGATGAACGCTCTATTATCACAATGTGAAAAGAAGTAGCGTACAGTTATTTCCAAATATGGAAAATTTACTTTATTCGTGAACTGGTGATTGGATCATAAAGTTGATATTTGGAGTGTCGAACAGGATAGCAAAGAAGACAAGTGCTATTTCTGATCTAAGTATTTTGTGGAGAGATGAATATTTAGAAAATACCCCCTTTTGGTTTCATACTTCTAGTGCCTTAGACCCTTGACCCTTATACCCTTGACAGTTATAAATGATATCACATTTTTACTTAGAAAACTGTTTACTCTGGTTTCTATTTTGGTAGATGCAGCTACTGCCTCTTTCTGACATAAAGTCACAAAAATATTGGTACAGAAAAATTTGGGTGCTCACAGTTTTACTGTCAATGATTGGTGCGAGAATGTTGGGCTGCAATCGTTGAAGTTTGAATAGAACGAACATCTCCTCTAAGTTGGAATGAGCTGCTTGGCATTACAGTGGCTCTCTTTTCTAAAATTTAACAATATATCCAAATATCTGGCCTAATTATGTCATCACAGTTCTACAAATGTTTCTGTCTCCAAAAATCAGTCGAGGGCAAAAATGACAAAGAATTATTTTTTTTTAAATATATTATCAGCCATCTCCGATTAGACAAACTACTTGAAAATGTTGACAAAAAACTTACTTCAAAATCAATTTTTTGCTCTCGACATTTACACTTAACCAATTTGTAAGTTTCTTTAAGTATCTTAACTTCCTATTTAATTACACAATTTTCTGAAAGAATGTTGGCTTAAATCTTACCAATCAGTAAACACAATGAGTCTATCGGTCTTGTTAACCTTTTGTTGAAGGACCGTCATCTATATCAATTATAATTCTCTTGAAAAACGTACCACTTCACTAATCATCCTTACTTTAGAATAAATAAGTCCAAAAATTTACAAAACTTTGATACTGAAATAATTTCCGCTATATCAATTTATTCTTCAACACACCTTTACTATATCTCTATCAATTTGTTTCCAATTTTATATCTATCAGCCTTTGTAATACCAAATCCTAAATTTTGAGTGGTAAATTAGCTTCCTCCTCTCCTTTTCGATGCGATGAAATTTCAAATAACTGATAAACTATTCTGAGACCTTATTTTCAACTAGGAAGTAAAGTAATAACAGTCTTTTGTTTCTACAGAGTTAGGGATGTAATCGTCAAATTCTAGTTCCTTTTTCAAAAAATTTACATAAAATGGAAAACCTAACCTATTACAATATAGTGAAATTTCTATTTCAAGTAATACTTTATTGTGAGATTTTCACTGGAGAGTTTACAAAACGCAACACTTGTTTCGTTAATAGCTTCCTCAAGCAGTTTCATACTGAAAATGCATCACATAATTTCTCATTCAATTCAGAAATTTTTTTCCCATCTTTATAAAAAAAATTTATGAAATAAGTCCAAATCAACATTGATTTAGATATAAAGCTGTGTTTTTTCAAATTCATTGGATATAAACTTTGCAGGTCCCAATCACAATTTCATTATAATCATTAATTGGTTTCAGGTTTACTAACCTTGTTCTATATATGTATATTCATAAATTGTATATTTTTTGAGAAGTTCAATTAGTGTTCGTGTAGGTATATATCCATTTTATGAATGTTGCTTTTTCTACACATCACACGGTCTAAGGTAGATTAGTCAAACTGTAAACAATTTGTTAGGTTTTGAAGAGACATATGAGGAAACTTTGTAAAAATCGCTTATTCTCTCAATACTTTGTTATACACTTTTTAAAATTTTTCATGGATTCATGGTCTGCTTCAAGAGTACTTCCAAATATTCTATAAAACACAATAATATCAAAAATACTGATGTTCAAAACCAAGAGACGTTTCAGAAGCGTAAGTTGTCAACTTATCAATATTCTTGGAATCCCATGAATATCAACAGCATGGTTAGAAAATGAATTGTCATATTTAATTAATACAGAATATGCTTTACTTATTAAGATAATTATGTTGCTGTCTATCCCTCCATCACTTACAGTTGTTTTTGTGTTGATGTAGTAGCTTTAGAAACTGTTTCCTTCAAGTGAGAGTGCGTATTTCTAAAATACAACACCCCACACAAATTTTTAAACCTGTATATCTTGGTCTAGTTAGTCAGCACTGACAAGTTCAAACCTGTTTCTATATGAGTGACGGCATAGAAGGACTATTTTGTTCTGCACTGATAAGTACCGAACCCGACTTGTATGTACTTAAACCTGCTTACGTAAGCACCCTTGTGTTTAAAATAAAAGGTCTTTTATCAGGAGAAATATTTTATATTTGCAGAGTTTGGGCCAACAAAAATATTGTGAGGTGTTAACACTAACCTCGTTTTACCCCATAGAAAAACGTACATTTCTTCATAATTAAGGAAATTTATAAAAGTAGTGACAAAAAACATTTACCAACTGTAAAAAATCTCGGTTGACAGCTGAAAATGTTTCATATCGATTAAAAATTGTTTTGATGGCAATTTTCTGAAGATAAACTTTGAAAAAAAACCATCCGTTCATCTTGGAATTATGATTGACACTACTTTCAAATGAAACAAACTGAATTTGAGAATGAAAACATCAGAAGCCCTACGGTCGGAACGTCGATTGTCACTGCTTTTCGTTCAATCTGTACTGGGAATCGCACGTAGAAGGTAAGACCTCGTTAACCCCAAGCTCGTAAAAGTTTCGACTTTTGAGGTTTGTCCTAGGGGATGGCGATAGGTGATTTATAGAAAAAACATTCTGTAGGAGAATCTAGAAATAATTCAGTGATATATGATATAAATTATTTGTGGAAACGATAAATAGCAACATATTTGTCTGAGAATTTACCAACAAACATTAAAATGACCAGAAATCCTGTTGCTTCAGGAAAGAAAATTTATAGTTGAATACTTGCCAAACCAAGAAAATATGTAGTTATTAATCACCAATATGTTATGTATTTTAATTACAGATATTCACATGGACTACTCACAAGTTAACCTTTTCATAATTTCGTTTTATTGTAAAAGTTCATAATGTAAATAAACTTAATATTATATTATCATCTAATGTTTCCATCGAAAATTTGATGGTCTAGTAGATATCTAGCTTCCTCTGGATGAGCACAAAATGACGTTTGGCCATATCTTATTTTTATTATGTGGGATACAAGACTTTCTTATACTGTGTTAGTTTTAAGGAAGCATGCATATGAGTAATTGATGAGAATACCAATTTCTGAAAAAAATATCACTTTTCGAACAGTGAGAAAAGGGGTAGGATTTTTTCCGAAAATAAAGTAAATTTTGAAAAACGGCAGCTTCACAAGTGTCGACTATACTCAAGAGCGCTAGAATATACATATTACATAGTATATTTCTAGAAAAACTACATAAATATTCACTACAATACTTCAATTACAAACAGATTTGAACTGAATTGGCGTGTTGTGTTCTCCCATTATCATAGTGTTGCTATTGTAATTATTAAGAAAAAAAGTATTTCAAGTTTTGTTAAAAAAACGGAGAAGGTTCAAATTCCTTCGAGTATAAATATGGATCAACAGTAAATATTTTCAAGTATATTGAAGGACAAACTGAAAAGTTCAGCCTGAAAACCTATAAACCTTTCAACAGTCCAATTAGATTGTAAATTAAGATATTTATAAATTTGCTCTCTAATTAAACTTAATGATTGAAAAATAGAACTTATAAAACTTATCTTTTCTAAAAACCATCAAGGAATACTGGCGATATTTTTAGAAATACACTGGAACCTTGATTTCTTATTACCTATTTTTGAGGGAAAAATTAACTGCCCAAAAAACCGGATCTTAATTCAGTCTTTCGACATTACGCTATGATGCAAGATGGAGTGTCAACTGTTAGATTTTGACGAATCATCCCCAACATCCTGTAGACTGAAATAATAGTGAGATATAAAAATCAAAAGGGTGACAATGGGGAAGCATATACACCTAAAGAAGTTAACAATCTCTTTGGATTCTTCTGGAAACTTTGAATGGCACATTCCACATCCTTAGATATAATTGAAAGACATTAATATGGAACAATTCTGGAATTTCTATCAATTTTCGTTACTCCCAAAGCAATTTCAATCCAAATAATCACAACAAAACATCACAACTTACAAAGTAAAAACCAATCACTTGAATATATGGAAAAATGTAATGGTAATTGAATAGGAATATTATACATATATATTTTATATATCACATAATAAATTCAATAAACTCTCCAAGAAATAAAATAAAATAATGCTTATGCGTACTCTACATCTAAATCTTATGTTCTAATAAAACTGATATTCAGTAATACGCAAGCAGCGTATTAATTTTGTGGCTTAGCCACTAATAATGTGCCTTATCTACTAAAATTGAACTTTATCGAAAAAGTACGTGGAAAAATCAGGTGAAGTGAAAACGAAAATCCAGGGAAAATAATGAAGAAAAGTATAAAACTCATTTTTCTGTTGGATCTCTTCAGGATTTACAATTTGTAAAAAATGTCTTCCTGAAAGTAATCACTATTTTTTCATTTATACTCCATGAGCAATTCTTTGTGACAACAAATATAGCAATATTTTATACAAATATTCAATTCACCTCTTCTTTCCTGTACTTTTTCGATAAAACAAATTACACAATACAACTCTCACACGGTAATATAAAAAAGTTTGATATCATGTTGATAAAAAATTATGAAGCATACTCATTATGATTCAACAACAAACTACAAACTATATCACATATACAGAGTATTCTTTAAATAAGAGTCTTTGATTTGTTAGTTTTTTTTTGAGCCTTGAAAGGTTGTATTGTCAACTTTAAAGTTCACCGGATTGGTCAGTTTTACAACTGGAATAAAAATAATAACTAACATATTATAGAATTAATTTTTAAGAACTTGAGGTTATTGTTTTTATGAACAAACGTATTCATTTGAATTTAAAAGGGGATATTATTAGGATAGATTAGTTTTTTGGGAAAAAGCTTTTTGGTTTTCTAATTCTTCCAATGTGGGATATTTTCAAAGGTATAAAAAAAACTATAATAATTCTTCATAAACATATTCAGTTCATATACAGAAGTTTCTTTCAGATACAAATAAGAAAAAAAAATTACTCCCGAAACATGTCGAAGAACTTGCTTCAAAAGGGATTTTTTTCAGGTTTGGATCTGAAATTAACTTCTGTATTCACACTACATACGTTTATAAATAGTTTGTTTTTCGTAGTTGTTCTTTTCTTTCTCTGGAAGTCCCCCAAATTTGTTGGTTAATGATGGAAAAAAAAAGAAAAAGCCTTTTTTCTAAAGAACTTATTCAGTTCTTACAAAAGATCATCTGACTAATTCTGCGACGTGTCAATATGTAATCGATGTATAACAGTTAACCAATTTGAAATCGGACATGAATATTTAATTTCTTTCGGATGAAACACCGGATTTACTTCAAATGCACATACCTCTAAGAAGAATCTGTTTAAAATCTGTTTTTCGTCAAACCTGAATACTTCATGTTACAAAGTGAAATCTTTATAACGAAAAAGGTGCAATGTTAATCAATTATTATGTGATGATGACTAACTGGTTGATGAAACCATCATCAAAAAAGGCTTTATTCAGGTTTGTAAAATGCAAGAAAGTAATTTTCATCAGATTCAGTCTACAAATTTGTGTGAGATAAAATATTTTCCTACACAAGAACAAACACACTGTCTCTCGTAGCTCGTTTCACTAACCAAGTTAGCATCATCAGGAGATGATCAGTTTTTATAATCTCTTGATGATGCTGTGTTTTCGTTCCGATATGGAAAACGCATTATTTTTAGAAAAATGGCTCTTTGAGTGAGATTAACATGACTTAATTATTTGTTGGTTTTAATAATATTTTTCAATATAATCAAACAATCATTCTATAAATTACAAACTAAAAACAGTAGCCGCTCTTGCTTTCAGAATATTGGATGGAGCTGAATGGAATATTTGTATGAAAAAAATCAACTTTGGTGTATGATGAGGTAACTCATATGGTTAAAAATCTGCATTATTTTGAAAGTTTTACAGAGGAAGCCCTATTAGCATCGACCCTCAAAGTTAACTGATTTACAAAACAAAGGTTTTTAATCAAACCAGACATGTATTTCGCACTATTGGTGTGATTCCATAAAACCTACTATTTATACAGAATTAGAAAAATGAGAAATTGAATATAAAATGCCCATGAGAGAAATCTTGGAAGTCTTGTTGACTCTGCGTAACATTTTTCTGCATATCCTTGTACACATATTTTTTGTAAATCAGGCCCATTTTGACAGATATCTTCAATACAATTTCTTTTGTCAAGCCAAAATAAGCCTCAATATTATTAGATTTGATAACAATTTTGTAGAGAAACGTATAATTGTGTTTCTTTTTTCGTTCAGATAAAATATTTATGTCAGTTGATTGGAAGAATGGATATTTATCACATCAAACACACGATCAGATGTCAGAGAAAATAAAACTTTTTATATTAATTAAATAAGCAGATTATCCGTTAATCTCCCTGACCACTTATGGAGAATTACTTATAAATTTTAAACCGATTTCTGTCGAGACTATTCAGTATTGGTCGAGACGAAACATTGAAATCTGGAAGACCAACGGCCAATCTGCATAGTTGCCCACGAAACTGACCAATCCCTAAGAAAAATCAAACGTTTGGGTGACCCCGTATAGTGACTAGAAGCGACAAAGATCCTCTGCATTCATTTTGGACACCGAAGCGAAGCGGCAACTCGAAAAAAACGGTAGATCAAAGAGTATGTAAGTTCATCCGGCAGTAGATTATATGGCAAAGAAACTCAGTGCATTTCTACGCTGGCTAGAGGTACGCCGGCCAACGCCACGGTGAGACTTTTAACGTGGGTTTGCCAGGTGGAACTGAGCTGGAAGAATTTAACTCCTCCGAATTCCACGCCGTCAATATAAACTGCAAAAAAAATATATTATGTTTTAGTACTACCATTAGCAAGTATTGAAAGCAACACTTTATAGCACTGGAATTGTTAGTTATTTTACGTACCAATATTTGTTAATTGGAAAAGACTATATTATGTTCACCAAAGTAAAATTTGAAATTTCCAGGGAAGAGTGCAAAATCGACGTTTTTCTACTTACCTTTCATTGGAGTATTATGTGAAGCCCGAGCAGAACATATCAGCCTTGAAACCCCCTCCACGTTTTGACTACGCGGTTCTGATTCCTTTTCTTTCTCCTTCTTTTTGCCTAACCTCATAACTGAAAGTGAAATGATATTCTATGATCTTTTTTTCAAAATGAATTGTAATAATTGTATAAAAATCACCGTTTTATATAAGTCAGATTCAATTTTGAAAGATTACAAACTAGCTCATAATTCTATGGATTGTCCTGTCTGCTCGGCCAGCTAAATTTCAAGGTACACAACAACCTATAAGCTCAATCCGAGAACTAATGTTCTCCACAAATCACACAATGTGTAATAATTTTGAAAGGATGTGTAACACTTGAAGTTTATTGTTGGATAGCTTGAGAAAAATACGCTTGTGATATGAAATGTGTGTTACTGATTTTTTCAAAAGTATTGTTTTTCTTCTATATTTGTTGTAGAATGTGTTGAGCAATAAGTGCTATTATTATCAGTAATACATTTATTGATATATCAATATACAAATACGTTTTTTTAAATAGCAGCTTTCAGACTATCGAATATTCCACTGTACATAGATTGACTTGTGGTTCTCATCCAAAGCTTTATATTGGCCAAACGGGGAGAGCCTTTTCCCAAAGACTTAAAGAACATATATTTGATCTGTTAATCTTTTACAACTGTCTTAGGAGAATACTCATTAAAATTAGAACATTATTAAGTACAGAAACGATTACTCTTCATTTATTTTGTTTCATAAGGTCATTTAGTCCAGAATTCAAAGAGTTTAAGAAAATCTGTATGAAGTCGAAGACATCTAGGTTAGGTTAGGTTAGATACCTATCTCAAATGTGTTTTCTTTCACACCCACTCCAAAGAAAAGTTGAAATAAAATAATGTTATAAATGCCATACTTATACGATTTTGAAAAATTGAAACATTCAGGATTTTCAAAAGACTGAAAAAATTTTTACTTAAAGCAAATCACTATGCAAGAGAAGCCGAATGTCAGAGCAGGAAGGTAGTTATTTGGGAGCAACTATTTACAGTAATCAATGGCGTGCAGTAGTAAATTAAATAGGTAAAATTTTATGCGATAATTTGTGAAATACTGTGATGTGAAATCAAGATGTTGTAACTTATTGCACTCAATATCATTCATCAATCAATCCATGAAAAACAATGACATCTACAAAAAAAATTAAAAACAATCATATGTTGATTAAAATGTGCATTATATTATGCTATTTTTATCATCGAAAAGGTTTACCTCATCATTCTACCCCTTTAGTAGTTTTAACAATACCAAATTACCTAAACCTACTTTCTTTTTAATAAAGGTTCTTCAATTTCAATGGTGACAAATGTATAAACACCTATCAAAATAAATTCAAATTCTTTATTGACAATTTCGGTACAAATGTACATATGGCAAGTCATAATTTTTACAGTTAACAATACACCCACAATATCTCATATACATCATATTCTTTGCCGTTAACAATGAAATAATTATGTATCAGACACACACGTATCAAATTCACAATATAGAGAATCAGAAATTCTTCGCAACTGTAGTAATATTTGTGAAGTAAGAGATTTTTAATGCTCCTATAGAATAACTTGTCTGTTTTAATTTGTGTAAAAGCTGAAGGCAGCGCATTGTAAAGGCTGATTGTATTATATAGTGGTGATTTTTTAAATTTGGAGGTTTTGTGTCTAGGCACCTTTAATAAATTTCCATTACGTGTTGGATATTCATGACATGATGAGGTTTTTTCAAGGAGTAACTCGTTTTTTCTGGCGTAGTTCACACATTTATAAATGTATATGCAGGTAGCTGACAGAAGCCTTTCTCTAATGAATACTGGCCTACAACTTTCCAAGTAGTTCATGTCAAATACCAGTCTCACTTGTCGTTTCTGTAATACAAAGATCCTGGTGAAGTTATTTGCACTTCCCCAAAACATTATATTGTTAGAAATGTGTGAAAAGACATTGTAGACATTCAGCAGACTTGATCTGTTTACTGCAAAATATGCTTTGTTCAATTTACAACATACACTATCAATATGTAAATCCCAAGTCCGTTGTTCATCCAAAATTATACCCAAAAATTTAGCAACAGTTACAACATCAATATCAATTGAGTCGCATATGTGATCTGGAATATTGCTCCTTCTGTTATAAAATCTCATAGAAACAGATTTGGTAGTGTTTGAGATGAGGTGTTTAAGTTGACACCATTCTGAGAATTTTTCAAACACACAAATAATTTGTTCTATCAATATTTTGAGATCTCTCATCAGCAAACATTGTGATTTGACAATTTGATAAGTGTTCCGGCAAATCATTAATAAAAATAAGAAATAATAGGGGTCCGAATACCGATCCCTGGGAAACACCTGAGTTTACATTAGATATCAGAATTTAACTCTGGTCGTTTCCTTCAAAGCAATAAAATGCTAAAATTGAAGGCTTGACTGTAGAAACAGAGTATAGCTAACAGCAATAAAAAACTTTCCAGATAGAGATAAAATTGACAAAGATGGAATTATGGAAAGCATTCTCCCTTGTCTAGAATTACTGTAAATGGAAATAAAGTTGATAACAACTATTTTGATTTGTTAAACATTAATCTTCGAGGTAAATTACGAGCCACCGTTTTGAATTGAAATTTCTTTCTTTTATCTATATCACGTTTATTATCACTGAGAATAAACACTTCAGTATAAACGAATAAATGAATAATTGCAATATCTACTTCGTCTATAAGTAGTACATATTCTTTGAAACCATAAAGTATATATTGAAAATGATTTTTTATATACTTACTTTTCTGCTTCTTTTCCTTATTTGCCAAGTGCATAGTTAGGTTAAGTCCAGTCATTGTGGTGGGTGAGGCCTGAAGCCCTCTGAAAAGCGCTTTAAGGGAAGTTTTGCCATCCTGCTTGGCTTTGTCTTTATCAGTCTTAATATTGGCTTCGCTGAACTTGGTCAACTGCCAGTAGTCAACCTGCAATTCGAGAGGCTCCCAAGGAGCTTCCCGTGCATGCACGTTGGGAGACGAGGGAGGAGTTAAGGAAGGCGCTGGGGGACTGGAACAAATGAGGTCATCGAGGTCGACCGAGACTGACTGCGACTGATCTGCTGGGCCTACCCGAACCTCCTAGACGATAGATGCTTAGATATGTTGCAGCTGCCCAAAGGGACTATGTACACGCGGGTGAAAGATAACCATTCGGAGGTTTTGCTGGATAAAAGTTCGACATACGGACGAACAAACCATCCAACCAGAGTGTCGCCACCGATCAGGAGGAGCTTGATGAACGTGCCGGGCTTGGCACAGCTGTTGCAGCTGAAAAGTTTCCAATGGAAAAGTTTACAGTTAACTATTGCTACTAACAAAAAGTATTGTTATGAATATTATAGTTTTATCACAACATCAAAACAGGGTACCAAGTAGTTTCATTGAAGTAAATACTCTGATTTTTCCAGATTTTATCAGCCACTAGCGATCCGCCCCGGCTCCGCACGCGTGCAATGCTGATAGTAAATATACATATAAACGCGGCCTTCGACGCGCTATTTATAGCACGCGTCGCCGGCCTCCGGCCGGTACCACCGCAACCGATATCTCCCTGCATTTTAAATCTGTAATATCTTCGAAAATATTCATTTAAATTACATGCTGTAAAGGGCCATATTGGTCTATATTGAATGCACAATGTATTGAAGGTGACTAATTGGATAAGGATTAATGTTGTATTGTTTAAAATCGCTTCGTAAATAAGCCATTATTTCCCGAGGATAAAAAATGATTATTGTGGGTTATCCCTAAGAGATAGACATATACCAAAGCAAACTTTTTTGTAGAACTTTTTGAAGTGTACAATACTATAGTATATTTTTTGATCTATCTTGTAGGGTTCAGCCATCGTTTACAATGTAAGCACAAAAAATGGGTCTATTTATGACATTACATTGGAAACTTCTAAAATTATCAGTGTTTTTCTACTATATTATGCATGTTATATACATATGAACCTGTTATATACATATGAATCACTCTGTCTATTGAAAAAACCCACATCATAGGGACAGACAGCAGGTAGCGACTTTGTTTTATACTATGTAGTATGAAACTAGCAACATAGTAAAAAATCAACCAGTAAGTCCACTCCCACTACTTTCATTCATAAATTCACAAAGTTCTCGGTGACCTCGAAACGAAGTGCGGAGCCATATAATAAATTTAAGGATATTATCGAAGATGTGGTAATTTACTTATAACCAACTACAAAAACTAAAAACAATAATAATAACAGCGAATAAACTAAACACAATATCAATTTCCAATCATTTATTATAACTTATCCGATGCCCGTGGACCGTCGAATCCTTTGATACTACAGCACTGAACGCGTTGGATGCAAATCTCATCCTGAGAGCGGTTGAAGGTTCCCGGCACCTCGGGCAGAGCACGTGGTAAGAGAGCCTACTGGTTATATTCTACTGTGCTAGCAATTTGTTCCTTTACTCACCTCACCATTCAAAATTCACCGAAAATGATTTAGATGAAGATGAATAGTATTTTCACATTCAACAATTTATCTTACATGTTGATATATATTACTTACAAGCTTTCACATTTATAAAATTCAGCGGAGCAGAAATTACCGATTGTTGGAAAGAGATTAACCTTTGTCAAACAATAAATTCTGGGTAAATCGAAACTATTTGCTTTTTGATAATACTGAACCCACTTTCAATCATGAAGAAAGCGTTTGGAGGAAGTAGTAAGTTAGATACAAAATGATATTGAGCGTAAAATAAGAAATGATATTAGATTTGATTGTATTATTTTGCAAAGCTATTGAGGGATGCCAGTATTTTGTTGATATCAGAAATCAATATTATTATTTATTTGTACATAATTAAACTGACAAATTAGTAGTGAAAGAAAACTTACTACTTGTGTATTTTATTGAAGACAGCTGTCAGAACAGCTTTAGTTTCAACAGCTGATACGGGTTGAAATACTTTATGTTGGGGACCAAATCTAGAAGTCAGAGGTACTGTAATGCTGTCAGGTCCCGTCATCAACACAACACTTTCAGGAAGTACGTTCTCTTCTGGAGGCAACTGTTTTGAAACTAATTCTAAAAATACTTTTCGAGGCTGAAAAAAAAATTGTTATAAAGCAGCTAATAACAGTTTTATATAACCATGTATTAATTTGTATGCAATTTTTAGTACATTTCAGCTGCTCCGTGCCAAAAATTGATATGTGAAAAATTGATAATTTGTCGGAAAAGTAAGAAAAAGGAAAAAAAATAGTAGATACTGTGAGTTGAGTAAACTACGCCCCTGAAACCAGTAAATGATAAAAAGACTGGCTGTGGAGAATACATTTCATTGAATGATCTGTTAGATCTGGCAGAAGTTGAGAAGGTCACTTAACATATCAGGAGGCTGCCATTTAAATTCTTCAAGTTCTTTCTACCGAAAAGCCCGCTGACGAGGGATGTCATGGCGCTTAGGAATTATCATAATCAACCCCGTAAATACAGGCTGCTTTATGAAATGCTAGATATCTTTCATTAACGTTGCGAATGCGATCGTGCTTAGTTCATGGAAGAGCTTGTTAAGATAATTCACGTATTCTCGTGATATCAGAATAACTCTTACCTGTTTTTTTCATAAACTTTTTCCAAGGAGCTAGTGATAATCCTGTAACACCCACTTATTACACTTAGTTATGAAGTATCGAAATCACAACTTCTCGATAAATCTCGCGTAAGCCTCGGCAGGAAGCGGGAAGTCTTAGAATGAATGGTGAAATGAGGCTCTGTTGGTCAGAGAGCCACCCGTTAATACCAGCGGGGGCGCTTCCCATTAAGCTGTCGTGGGTCTATGTGGTGGCTCTCCACCCTGTGGACGTCCTGGGGCTTGATATTGAAGTCTCATCCTGCTTATCCTCCCCTTTCCTTTACCAACCCTTTTCCTGCCACCCACCCACTCCCATTTGTGGGAAAGATGTAAATATTGTATATATACTCTGTACATTGACAGAGCTTTCTATATCTTTACTGTATGATCACTGAACTTCATATACCCATCACAATAAATGCTCAAGTGCTTAAAATTATGTATTAAATATCAAAAAACAACAATTATTTAAACTTTTTGCGTTTTATATCACTTCTAACTATGAAGTTGATCAACCACAGAAATTTGTCAAAATGAAGAAGTAATGAACTTTTATTCAGTATTACTTTGGAAACACAAACTTTTCGCTTCTTAAAAATATTGATCAACCATAAAGTCGATGTGTTATGGCACAATTTTGGTCTCTTATAAATACTTTTTTAAGGAGAGACAACAAACAGTATTCTTCAATTGATGGAACTGAAAAACAAAAACTTCAAGAGACCTCTTGAAGTACTGCTAATGCAAATTACAGAATTAAAGTGTTGAACGTGTCCTAAGGTATATATTGGTCAAACTGGCTGAAAATTTAGGAGTCGTATCCAGGATCATCATATGAGCTATGTAAATAAAAAAACAAGTTCAACATATTCAAATCATATTTCAGAAGAAAAGCATATCTTTAACAAAACTAATGAAGTATTATTATTGATGTAATATGCTTTAGGTAACCATAATTGAAGATGTACCTTAAGTATATGAAAGTTGTAGATCTTTCAGGTAATTTGATCGAGTGAGTACCTAGGTAAGTAGTCTCAATTTGGATTACTTAGGGTAATAAATATCAGAATAAGAATGAACTTATGGTACCTAATTCACTACAAAAAGCTACTGTGTTAGAGAAACATGTCGTGATACATTTCTTTAAATTGAGTTTGTGGATATCAAATCGTAAGGTGTAGTTTATGAAATTACAGAAATGTTTTTCCATAAAGTGTTACTGAACTTTGAGCATACTTGAATACCTGAACCCCTGAATGTGATTTTGTGAAAATTTTGAAATCGCATATCTGAACTGAAATTTCCTAAATAATTTTCTTCGACACAAGTTGATTGTCAATCTCTTTGTTGGAATAGAAAAGATGAAAGTCATACAAGGTTTCACAAAAAAATTACATGTATGTTCAAACGACTATAACAAAACTGTTTCAATTGTTTTATATACCTGAGCATGTTTTATCTTCCACCCTATCAGATTCGATAAATGGCACGGTACTGTTTTCCAAAAGACTTCGACTACTGCTGAAATATGGACGTAAACTAGGCTTCGGAGTACTTGATATGGACATTGTGTCTTGTTCCGCACCAGAATCTTCATCGCAGCTGAGAGATTCTAATTCTTGGAACAAAGCTTGGAATTCACTCGGGTTGTTAAGGCAGTCTCTCACTCTTCCACCTTAAATTCAATGAAATTAATGAAAATTAATGAGTGCTCTAGTTTTATCTTCCATTGAAATTTCGCATATAATAAAAATGGGTTTGTTTCAAACTAAACTTCATTTTTAGGATTGAGGTTTTTATAAACGACCACCAGATGTCGCTAATTGAAAGGTGGCATCACAATAATCATAACCTCTGCCTTTTTATTATAGTGTCCGACCGAAAGTTCGGTTTCGATCGAGTTTCGGCAAAAAAACGGGTTTCGGTTTCGGCGCCAAACCTGCCGAAACTACGACCAAAACTGCATTCGGGAGTTCCCGCGCTGTTATCGGTCATGTTCGACGCGTTGAATTTCATACAATCGACGAAGACATTTTGACGCTTCCACGTGCCTAATCATGTCGTGACTATTGTGACATTAGGTATCAACTCAAATAAGTAATTTTATGTTTAATATTTTTGAAAACCCATCAATAATATTCAAAAAAAGAATCTACACCTACTCAAATGAACACCTCACCTATTTTAAGTATTTTCAAGGTGCCATTAATATTTTTTCTTTAATAAGGGTTTTTTTATGTTGATTATCAATAAGTAAAAATGTCGAAGAGTGCATAACGTTATTTAAAGATAAAAAAATAAAGACTGACTGATTATAATAACGTTTTATTTATTTTTCCCTCAAAACATAATCCTTTTAAGGAAGTTTTGGTTGCGGTCGTAACAGATCGTTGCCGAAATTCGTTTTCGGTTGCAAAAACCAGTTTCGGTCGGACACCAGCCTAGAATCAGCATCAACATAGAAACTGATATCGTAACTGGTCGACAGTGAGAGTTTGAACGAAGTATGTGTGTGAAGGTTTTCAGTGAATGACTTTTCACGATTTTATATTTACTTCGGATGATGACGAGTGTGGGTACTAACAATCGTAACGTCACGTCGTGAAGTGACTTGGTTTTATTTTTATTTATTTCTTTTTACTCTGTAGTAATTATACAGTGCTTTTCTTTAATGTCCCCCGTCCTTTTATTTTTTGAACGGGTCAACTCAAAAAATTGAAATTTGGGAAAATGAATACATAAATACTTTATTTTGAAGTGAAATTGACAAATAAAACTTTCAAGATGGCGACCGGGCACCATCTGGGAAAAAAATTGAATGGAAAGGGGGTCTTGTGACACTTCTCTTTGAAACTTCTGACAAATGCTCGAATATAATGTAAAAAATGGGTTTGTTTCAAACTAAACTTCATTTTTAGCATTTAGGTTTTTATAAACAACCACTAATGTCGCTAATGAAAGGTGGCATCACAATAATTATAAACTCTGTCTTTTTTTTTATTATCCTAGAATCAGCATCAACATAGAAATTCATGTAGTAACTGGTTGACAGTGAAAGTTTGAACGAATTAAGTGTGTGAAGGTTTTAAGTAAATGACTTTTTATGTTTTTATATTTACTTCAAGTGATGATGATTGTGGGTACTAACAATCGAAACGTCGTGAAGTAACTTGGTTTCACTTTTATATTGTATTTTCATTTCAGATTTTATTGCTTGATACAATTGATATTTTAGCTATTCAATTAAATTTTATTTGTTCTTTCATAGATTTCAAATCATAGTGGAATCATACTAGACAATGGAAGTCCAGACTAATGAAATTCACCATGAAACATTATCAATCGCTTTCAAACCCTGTACATTATGTGAAAGAAATAAATTTTCAACCTTCAGAGTCGGGAACGCGGAATCTCCGAAGCAACGAAACGAAACGTTGCTTCAAATTGTGTCTGGCGTGCGGAAGCTTGCGGATCGGTTCGCTATCCGACAAGTCGGCAGCTTCTTCTTCTCCGGAGCTAATCTCATCTTCGTCGTCGCTGAAATCGTGATCTCTGATCTTCTGATCGTGATCGACGGGAGTAGAGCTCAGCTGCAGGACCGAGAGACGAGCCACGGGTCCGGAACCTTTGTCCTTGCTGTTGTTTTCCGCCATGAGTTCGAGTTCGAGGTCCATTTGCTTCTGCAACACCTAGAAAAAAATGAAAATAGTATTAACTAATGAATATTAGAAATCTTATAGAAGTTTTGACAAGGTATTATAATGAAAGGAATATAAACTTTTCTATTGACCTTTCGAAATAATACTCAACCTTACACAATTATGCCAAACGGAACCTGCAGGGCTTCATACAAAGCATCTGTTGCAGAAGTTGTTGAAAAATCCCCAAAGTTCAATCATTTGTAACAAAATACCAAATATAAAATAAACGGTGATAATTTTAGAATGAAGTTTAATGATTGCTAATCAGAGAGAGCAGTATTATAGTTGTTAAGAGTATCCTAAAAATACTATTATTTTTCAATTCACCGACTATATTTATGTTTTAGCTGTTGAATGATCAGAGACTTCAATTTCATTCGATAAAGTACCGTTTCAAATAAATGTACACAGAGATATTATTGTTTATCACATCAAGTCTGGAATACTTATATAGAGATATCCTAACATAAACAAATTGAATCCTGAAAGTAAAAAGACGTAAAATTTGCAAAACCCACTCTCCAAAATGATATGTTGTTGTTTTATAATTTATTTCATGATTTGTATTTTAGAATTATTAAAAGTTTTGTTGATGAGTGAATTAATCATTTTGTTCGATTAGTAAGAATGGGAAATGTTCCTCAATTTGGGTTATTACAGAAAATGCAAGTTTGAACAAAATAAAGTTGAGTTTAATTAATGATTTTTTCAAGTACACTTCGAAAAGTATTCAAATTGATGTTTCAAATGTTGGGTTTTAATTTTTAAAGGGATTTGTTTCTAATTCACATATTGGCAACAGCGCCTATATCAAGTTGAAATAATTTATACGTACCTAGATATTCTACTTTAAAAAAGGAAAATTATCTTCATGAATCAACAATTGAGGCAAAATATAAATTATAGTTCAATACCACCTCCA